CACACGCACCTCCTCCCCACCTCACGCTCGCCGCTGCCAGACCCGCTCGCTTCCACGCTCCACACGCCGCACCTCCTCCCCGCCTCACATTTCCTGCCCATCCACATCCACGATCGGCACAGGGACGCGGGGAGAGGTAGTAAGGAGGAGCAGGTGTGGGGGGATGACAGCTGCTGATAGACAGGTCCGATCTCAGAAGCACGTTGCTGGAAGACTGCACTTTCCCACACATGGTGCTCTATAATGTATTGCTGGGATTTGTATTTCTCTATAGCTGATGGTACATTGTGCTGTATATTATACATCGGAATACAAATCCCAGCAATACATTATACACTGTATGTATAATGTATTGCTGGGATTTGTTGTACTCCTCTATAGCTGGTGATATTCTGCATTGCGCTGTATAGAGGACTACAAGTCCCAGCAATAATACATTATACAGCGCAATGCAGAATAACACCAGCTGTAGAAGAAGAGTACAACAAATCCCAGCAATAATATATTATAGAGTGGTACAATGCTAAATACCACCAGCTATAGAGGACTACAAAACCCAGCAATAGTACATTATACAGCGCAATGCAGAATGCCGCCAGCTATTATGTACTATTGCTGGGATTTGTTGTATTCCTCTATAGCTGGCGGTATTCTGCATTGTGCTGTATAATGTGCTTTTGCTGGGTTTTGTAGTCCTCTATAGCCGTTGCCATTCTGCATGCATTGCTGTATAATTTTACACTTTCTATTTCACTATATTGCACACCACACTATCTTTTTTTTTCTTTTTTACTTCCACCGGTCCAAGCTTGCTCCTGTGATGGACTACAACCTCAATACAAACTAGTAGTCCATCACTGGAGCCATTTTTTAAACTTTATTTTATAGTTTATCCGATTAACCGAACTTAATAATCGGCTAACTAATCGATTTTGAAAATAATCGTTAGCTGTAGCTCTAGTCAGCATAGCTTCACCTCATACACTAAACTAAGGGGAAACCTCCCCTGCAAAGTGCAAATTCCCTTGCAAAGTGAACAGCCTATTTGCCATTAGTAAACCAACCCCTCTGCCTCTTTGACCTATTCAGGATCTCTTGCTATTCCACCCCTAACGCGTTACGCACTTTAGGCTTCTTCAGGGGATCAGACTAATCTGCATAGAGTGCCTGGAGGTGGATCAACGTAGTGAGGACAGGAATGGGGTGGGTGGCTAGGTTAAGCCTTGCCATCACATACCGTCCATCATCTCTACCGGGCCCCCGAGGCCTCAAAGGGAGGAATGTCCTGGGCAATTTCAGAGAGCCAATATATCCCCACCCGAAGAAGTGACCTAATTTAGGTCCAAAGTGTATCGAGGTGTGCTGTCGTTGGCTCACTGCTTCAAATGGTGCACTCTCCAAATGGATCGACTGCCGAGGTCCTGCACTTGTGGGGACCTCAGCAGCCTGCTGGGGACCTGGCAGTGCCTGTCCAGCCCCATATCTCCTTCTCCTCCTTCCTGGCTCAGGCACAGCAAAGAACAGCTCCCCACCGAACAAACAGCCCCGGAGCCGGCAGAAGAACGGCACCCGATTGTTCAGTCCGGCACCCGCCCGCAGAGCCCCACATGTATCCTGGTGATATCTGTACAATGCCCTGGTCAGACGCAAACGCAGCCTGGTGACATCTGTACACTCCCCTGGTGAGACGCAAATGCGGCCTTGTGACATCTGTACTCTCCCCTCGTGAGACGCAAACGCAGCCTGGTGAAATCTGTACACTGCTCTGGTGAGACGCAAACGCAGGCTGGTGACATCTGCACAATGCTCTGGTGAGACGCAAATGCAGCCTGGTGACAACTGTACACTCCCCTGATGAAATGCAAACGCAGCCTGGTAACATCTGTACACTCCCCTGGGGAGACGCAAACACAGTCTGGTGACATTCACACTGCCCTACAATCATTAGTCTGTATTGTTTTAGAAAAAATGTCACATGTCCCTTTAAGAAAGAGTATAGGTAATTGATATTGGCGAGTACCTGAGGGAAAGTACTTTAAAAAATGGTATTGGGACATCCCTGCTGCAAAGTATAAAAAACCAGAGCAGTAATGCGTTCTGATTGCATCGCCCACTCCTTTTCACTATCCTCCATTCAGAAAATGACTTGTATTTTCTTTAATCCTTTCGCTGCCATGGCCTTTTTTTGTGTTTTTTTGCACACATCTTACAATACACATTTTAGGCCTGAAAATTACTTAAAACCCCCAAACATTATATATTTTCTGAAAGAACCTGTAGAATAAAATAGTAGCAGTTGCAAGTTTTTATGTCGTACAATATTAGCGCAACTCTTTATCAAACCCCAAAATTTAGTAAATATGCACTTAAGTTAATTTTAGTGCCAAAAAAACAATATAATACCCATTTTTTTGTAAAATATAAAAGATGAGGTTTGTGGTAGGGAGATTTGCATAGAGCTGCCTATATCTCTGGATGTACTGCTTATTGTGAAATGCGATTTTCAATGAGGGCCCAGTTCACATAATGTGCGGAAACCTGCTTTTCTCTGCACCCGAGAAACGCAGGTCTCTCCAAGGACACATGGTTGTCTATGTTCTCATTACAATGGAATGGAGAGTTGTGGAGCAGAGAAGTGCAGACAAATGCAGCATGCATGCATAGAAATGAGTAAATGTCACTTTGTAAAATTTTAGCAAAGTTAAAGGAGAACTATGGGATTAAGGCTTTTCCCCATAGTTCTCCTTAGGGTAACGGGAGGACACAAACTAGCGTCCTCCCGTCACCCTAGGCTCAGTATACCGCGAGCTGTAGCTCGCGGTATACTGAGACGCCGCAGTATACCGTGAGCTGCTGCTCGCGGTATACTGAGATGCCGCACCTGAAGCGGATCCCGACAATTATGTCTGGATCCGCTTAGCTGCGTGAGTGACAGCTGGCTCTGCCTATCTAGAGGCAGAGCCAGCTGTACCGGCCCCCCCCCCCCCCCGTTCCGCCAGTCAGCGCTGGCGGATCGGAGCGGGGAGGGGGGAATCCAGCCCCTCCCCTGTCACGGCAGAGAGCCGTGACAGGTTCAAGAGGCGAGCGAACGCCGGTATGTGTTCGCTCACCTCCCGATCTACTAAGCCGACCTGTGACAGTCTCATTGTCACAGGTCGGCTAGAACTATGAGGTGAGTGAAAAGCACTCACCTCATAGTTCTCCTTTAAGAAAAAATGAAAAAAGCAAACAGTGCCTTAGGTTGTAAAAACACAAGACACACGTCACACACAGACACCAGGGGATTATTTTAGCATGAGCCCTAAATATTACCTCTGCTCATGTATTTTTTTCATCACGTGCTGTTTGCTTTCCACAGGTTTGTTGCAGCTTTACTTTAAAGCACTGCGTATATGCAAGTCAAACTAAACAAAACTAATTTTAATCATCATGTGCTGTTTGTGGTTCCCATTCTCTGCACTTGTAAAACTGTTTGACTGTAAATGGGAAATAACATGAACATGATTCTAGGTCATAAATGCCAAAATCCCTTAAATTCAGATTGCATGAACACTGATTGAACTTTCCTGTATAAATATAGCTTTAAATAAACAAAACACAGCCAACATCATATCTTCACAGTGCCGAGCAAACATCCTTCAGAGGTCACTTTTAAAGTAGAGTGACTATTAATTATGCACCAGGATCATCATTTATTATATAAGGATGATGGGAAAATTTGCACAAATATTTAGTTAGAACTATATGTATAGAACATTCTGTACAAAGCCACACAACATACTAAAAGTTCTTCATCTATGCCAAAAAAAACCCTGTGGTAATCCATAAGGATAATTGGAAAATATGCAGAAACATTCAATTAGAACTAAATGTATAGAACATGTTTGTACAAAGCTATACAATATAAGAGGCATACCTCAGTTTTCCATTTATATCTAAACCAGTGGACTCTTAAGGAGCAGATCTAATGAATAAAAAGAATGATCTTATATACAGTATATAGATCTTATATCTATAGATATCTGATCTTATATAAAGGTAGCTAAGCTTAAAACTGTCTTGCACCTGTTTATGAGGTTTAAAATATATGTTTGATAGGTAAAAGAAAACCCAAAAAACTATCGATCCTGTGCTCTCTGCTTGTTAACTCCAACAGGCTATTTAGCCCTCTGAGTTCTTGGCCCCGTTCACACCGAGGCGGTTCGGCCATGCAGAGTTGGCCGTGCAGATCCGCCGACATGAACAATCCTATACATTGCTATGGGGATCTTTCATGCGACCGTCTGGCTCAGTGCGATCCGAACCGCCCCCCTGCCCGAACTGCTCCCTGCACTATTTTTTCAATGGAAACGCAATTAAAAACTCCCAAAACCTCCCTTTTGAAATCAGCGCAGAAACCGCGCCAATCCGCAGCCGCCCTGGTGTGAATGGGCTCTTATTATGGACTAAAGAATTATTAGCTTTTATGTTGTGGAGATCTGAGTGTGGGAGTGGTTGAGTAATTTAGCAACTTGGACACTGGGCAGGGCTGACAACTCAGTCCACAAAAATGCTGTGAGATGCCTGCCTACAGGACGTAGGAGCGGAGTGCATTTCTGGTACATCAATAGGTATTTTTTGTACTTACAGGGTCTTTTAAGGATAAAACATGGGGAAATGTGCATGTTTTGCAGAAATGTACTGCATAGGTTTTGGGGGGGTTTTTTGCCTTGACTTACGCTGTAACAGATACTAGTATTTGCAAGAAATAACACTGTAAAATGTTCATCAAGGAAGTTATCTCATTGCCTTTGCGGATCAGGATGGAATTTTTTCTCCTCTCCGAGCAAATTGGACCATACTTTTTAGTTGTTTATTGCCTTACTCTGGATCAAGTGCAGGTTTAAGATTTTAAGAATACATGTGGTATTTTTTATTATAGTTTTTTTTAGCTTAGTGTAAGTGTCTTTTTTATCCTATGTACCTATGCATATTTCCATACTCTTTGTCAGTTATGCACATTAATTGTTCTCCATGGAAAGTACATAAACACATTTACCCATTCCAGTGCCAGCAGGTGCAATCTCCCTTGCAAAGATTTCCAGTGCTTTTTTCTGCTTGTGGTGAACACCGAGCCAAACGACAGCCTCACGAGCAAGCTGAAACAAATAACAAGATGTAACAGAATAGTAATGAATTCAAATAATGTATTGTACTACACGTATTTAAAGAAAAGTACATGTCACCAAGATTCAAACTGCCTGCCTTGTACAGGTATTGCTGGTGAAAGTAAACCTACCACAATCCTGGGTAATAAGCAGAAGTTACTTACATTAAAATCCCATGTCAAAATGAACGGTAGAGGGAGTCAAGTATTGGTAGCTTATGGTTTCCTCCTATGACGCAAACCTGTTGCTTTAGTATTGACAAAGTGCAAGTTTGCTTTAAACTCCAAAGTTTAAAGGTCTACTTGTTACTTTGAACTTTAAAATGTTTTGTTATAAAAGCATATTTATAAGAAGAACTTTTGTTCCCCATGGTCCCTGTGTGTGTTGTAAAGTAGCCACCACTCCAACCTCACTCCCGTTATGGATTACAATCCCATGTTTAGTTTACTAATTTGTATTGAAATTAGAGTGCATCACAGGAGCAAGCTTGGAGTGGTGGCTACTCTACAACACACACAGGGACCATGGGGAACAAAAGTAGCCACCCCCCAGAATTTAAGGTACTTGAATTCAATTTTTAAAATGTAACTCCTGTGTTTAGTGCCACTTTAAATTCAAAAACAAAACTGTAATGCAACTTACCAGTCCTTAGATGTGGTGGCTGCATTAGTTTTCCTTTTCTCAGACTTTTTACTTTATTATTATCTGGTAATACTGTGACACGTTTCCTTTCCCTGAGAGGTTTTGCTCATGTCTCCACTCTATCTATGAAGTGAGCCATGGTTGTTGCCACAGAAGAAAAATGACCCTGTTTGTTAATCTTACAGGAAGTGACAAGGACACTATCAGGGTTATTCACAAAAGGGTGGAGAGCTTGGAGAAGGCAGGAGACGTGAACAATGTAGGACAAATTAGCTGATTTGGAAAAATTCGCTAATTCAGCTCACTTTTCAGTTCAGCTATGTTTTCCTAGATTGTTCACTTCTCCTACCTTCTCCAAACTCTTCACTCTTTTGTGCATAACCCTGTATATTTCAGGTTAGATTAACAGGTATTTTATGTACTTGCTGAATACATTCTTGAAAAATGAAGGCTAATGCAACCGCCACACCTAAGGGTTGGTAAGTTGCAATGTATAACATTTTTGTTCTTAGCGTTAGATATTCTTTAAGTTTGGGGGTAAACAGCAATGCTCTCATTCTCAGATTATAACAACCACCACTTGCTGGCTTCATAAGTTTGCTTAATTTCTACAAAATGCAAAGTGAGCAAACAGAAGGAAAATCTAAATCAAATCAATATTTGGTGTCACTACGCTTTGGCTTCAAACCAGCATCAATTCCTACACTTGCACAAAGTCAAGGATTTTGTAGGATTAGAGTCAGGTGTATGATTAACCAATTATACAAATAAGGGCGTAATGATCATCAATTTCATATGTAGGATGAGACACAGTCATTAACTGAAACAGAAACAGCTGCGTAGGAGGCTTAAAACTGGGTGAGGAACAGACAATTTTCTGCTACTAAGGTGAGGTTGTAGAAGACAGTTTCATGTCACAGGTCATACACCATGGCAAGACAGAGTACAGCAACAAGACACAAGGTAGTTATACTGCATCAGCAAGGTCTCGCCCAGGCAAAGATCGGCTGTATGTTCATGGGGCTGCATTTATGACAATGGAGTTGGAGATTTGGTCAAGACCAATGGTGTCCTCAATGCTGAGAAATACAAGCAGATACTTATCCATCATGCCATACCATCAGAGAGGCGTGTGATAGGCCCCAAATTTATTCTGCAGCAGGACACCAATCCCGAACATACAGCCGATGTAATTGGTGATGGTTTGGCAGTATTGAATAGTGCACATATCCTTAAATAATAAAAAAGCATATTTACTGCACAATATGTTGATCATTTGAGTGCCTTCACATGGACAGTTTAGAAGCAGCACCCCCCTTAAGTTCATGGACTTAGTGTCAGGACTGTTCCAGAAAACTAGGGAAGCTATCAGATAAATGTGTTTTGCTAAAATTCCCTATCCATAAATCCTTTTTAAAGGTTCAGTTAAAACTAGAAGTATACAGAGCCTGCTTTTAACTCTTACATCTTTTCCTCTAGCATGTGGTCCATATGAATCTTCAGCACCGATTATTTGAAGATGTACTGCGCTGTAATCCTCCAAGCCAAGATGAGTGAACATATCTCGAGTTCTAGAAAAAATGTAACACAGGAAAAGTCACTAGATGCTAACCCATACCATCCAATCTTCGATTATTAAAAAAGTGGCACATGTCAGGGTCTATCCAATGTCCAAAATCCCAAATATTTGCATAATTAGATAAAATGGGCCCCTTTCTGTCAAGATCCAACTACATATGGCCTATAAACTGGAGGTTTCTTTGTCAGTAAAGAATTAAGTTTTTTGCTCCCAGAGTCTCCTGGGATATCTTTGTCATATATCCCAGGAGGATTCGGAAGCAGGGACTCACAGCAGATGGGCAGACCTGGCAACGTGTCATCAGGAGCCGACTACAGAGCCCAGAAGAGACAGTCAACTCCCGTTGGTGTCAGAGAAGAAGTTTGTGGCTACGGACCCGCTATGACAGCTGATCGACAGAAGGAGAATGCTGTTTTCACTGGGCAGGTACATTTTCTTAACTAAAACTGGCCTCTAATGGTATTACCTTCTCAAAATGCTTTCTGCTGTACGCCTTCCTTTTTCTGCTGCTCGTGGTCCTACTACAGTACATACAGCTGTGGCTCTGAATCCATCCAGATATGTGGCACACACCTAATTACAGATACTTTAGTTACACATATGAGAGCATGAAAGCATAGACTTTTAATACCATATTCCTGTGCATGGTATAATTTGCCAACTGTTACTTTCCCAAAACTATTCATGCTTAAACTACTGAATGTTACCAGCATGGCCAATGATTTTTGTAAATGGCACTATATTTATTTGTAGCTTGTCTTTGTTTAACTCTTGAATGTTAATTACAAAGTCATTTAAAAAAAATCACATGGTGTAGGGATACCTTGCAGTTTACCTTCTACTGATTACTTCTAAAGCACTCAGTAACTCAATCATACTGAACACTCTGTTCTGAAAATACTCATTTCATCTAGGATGATAAATCTTTGCATATCACTGTAATGGGCCACCTAACTTACCAGTACTGAGGAACAGGAGGTAACAGAGGGACGCCCAAGGCACTAAATTGCTACCTGAAGAGGTTATTTCCTATTCTTTTTCCCAAAGCACTGTAGAAGAAGTCTGAAAATATGTTCAGGCACCTGAATATCCTTTCACTTGCATGCAAATCTATTGATTCTTTCATAAATGCCCAGATATCTGAACCTTTGTTCTTCAATAAATATGCGTCATCAGAATAATTCCTCCCAACATTTATGTTCCCTGCAAGTTACCCAGTCTTTTGATCCAAAGTTTCACCATTTGCTTGTTTCCAAGGTCTTTTCTACTAATATCCTGGAAGAAAAGGCATCCAGGAGATAATACCTTATATAATGAAGATGGTGGGACTCCTCTTGCTCCATTGACAGTGACGGCCTCCTCATCTAGGAGAGTAAATTATGTTGATCAGATACAGAAAACAAAATCTATATATTATATTGGCCCCCACAATCACCAGATCTCAATCCAATTGAGCATTTGTGGGACGAAGTTGAAGAGCAATCAGGCAGCTGGTTCCACAACCATCAAATCTCACAGAACTGGACAGTGCTATTCATCAGGCATGGTGTCAGATTCCTCACATCACCTTTCAACATCAATGCCAAGAAGAATCGCCGCAGTATTGAAGGCAAAAGGTGGCCCAAAGAAGTACTGATGGGTTGGTCATAATAATCTGGCCTCTCATTGTATATGTTGACAGCATTCAGATAAGAATGGTAGATAATACAGTGCATGCGCCTTATTTAAGGATGTAATCTTAATTTGTTTGTCATGTGGTACATCTGCTGTTCTAATTTAGCAGATATTTAATATGTAAAACCTAGTAAGTATGTTTTTCTGGTTTTTTTTTCTAGTTTCTGTTTCTCATTTTAAAGTAATTCCATATGATTTGATCTGAATTTTGTCACATTAATGTAAAAGAAAAAGGCACTTTTGTGATGGCTTACTTGTCATTGACAGTCAAATTCATAACAATATTTTAATTTTACTCCTATGATATCTAACACATCTGAATCCTGGTTTCTGTTGATAAATTCATTTGAACGCAGTGGACATGATCTGAGGGGCAAAGTGTTACTCAAAATAGGCTATAGTATGAAGAATAACAGGAGTGTTGAGCTAGATCAGGAGCTGGCCATAGGGCTTGGTCACATCTACTGTAGGTGGTTCAGCACAGTGATGCACTGCATGCGAAAGACAAATGAGAACTAAGACAAGTTGCTGTTCAAATCTGCACAGTTACATGTAGTGCTCTTTAACAGTGTGTTCCCAAGCTCAGAAGATATATAAAATGAAGGATTACCACCTATAGGCCCCGTGATTTCAGAAGATATATACTTTTGGGTAGGGATGCACAGATACCAAGGTCTTGTACTTGGTACATGTACTGATACTTTTTGAGCTCCAAGAGTAGACTAGAGAAAAACTCAAAAGCTAGGAGGCCGCTGTTATTTTTAAGGAGCATTGACTACATGGCCTATATATATATATATATACACACATACATACATACACACACATAAATACACAATATATATTAGGGATGCACCGTTACCATTTTTTCCAGACCAAGTACAAGTACCGATACCTATTCAAGTACTCACAGATACCAATTGCTGATAAAGTTTTGTTTAGTGTCACGTGACAGTTTTCTAAAACACTACAGACTAATGATCTCAGGACAGTGGTGGGGCTTAGTCCCAGCTGCAAGCGCTGTGACCCTGGTAGTTCTCGTCAAAATGACAAGTATCAGCACTGGTATCTGAACTGGTATCTGTGCATCCCTACTTTTGGAAGACATCTGACTTTTTGGTCTATGTATGCGGAAAAAAGCACCATTGGTTAGACCACCCAAGGTGCAAAATGGGAAACTGTACCTCGCAGCTGAAGGGTTAAAAAAAATTGTTTTGAGGCTACAGAGACTGCAGTTGCTAACCACCTTTTGAATATGATAACTGCCAGCCCAAGTCTGTAGCTTTAACACTTTGAGTTACTGACCGACATCAAGATCAGAAGTTACTAATCTGCATACTGAAGCCCCAGAAGCAGCATGACAGCCAGGAAACTGGCATTTTCCGATGTAAAATGAGAGTTTGGTAAAAAGGGTTAAACTTTATTTGCAGCTGCTGCCATGATGTTTACAGTGCTCAGGAACTAATAAAGGAATCATTTATTAGTTTCTGTTCCCTCCCCTTACTCTGTTGTAAGAGGAAGGGGAGGGCACAGTGTATATCTGTGAGCAATGTGATGTGTTTCTTTATGACCAATCCCAGCGATCAAGGTACAGAGCTGCTTGAATCTGCTCTGCACAAAGTGTCAGTGTACCCCGCATTAAGCCCTCGTTCACACCTGAACGTTTTGTAGCGCGTTCTACGCTCGACGAACGCTCTACAAAACGCTCAAAAATATAAATCACATTGTATTCAATGGTCTCGTTCCCACCTTGGCGTATTTCCGCCCGTCCCTAACGCGCTACAAAATGGCCCACGCCTGAAAAGGTAAATGTACTACTTTGGGCCGTTTTGTTGCGCGTTTCCATTGGGATACAGCCAAGTAGCCTTCTGAAACGCGCGGCAGTCGCACGACTTTTTTACCACGAATCGCGGTAAAAAAAACGCGCGACAGACGTGCATATGCAATACGCCTAGGTGTGAACGAGACCTAAGGGTCGCACTGGGAATTGATGCTGGTGTACACTGTAACGTTTAAAAACAACGACTATGTTGCTGTTCAAAAGTTTATATGTTTAAGTAGTTAATGACTGTGCCCGTTGTTTTTCGGTCTGTGGAAACTAAAATCAAGCTGAATAGGTTGCCCTATCACAGTCAGAAGGCACATAACTCCTCTCTATGCAACCAGTCTGGCAACCTGCCTCTAACGCGCTGCGTGACAAATCGACTCACTTCCAACTCCCCACTCCTTCGCGTTTCACTTCTCGTAATTGTTCCCTAGTTCTTACCTTAATTGCAGACACAACAGACTAAAGGTGGGTTGAAAGAGGTAGAGAAAGGTCTGCTGCCTTGCTCAGGCCTGCATTTGCCTGGATCATGACAGTGATAATGAGAATATTTCTATAAAGGATTATGATAGGGGAAAAATCTTTTTGCTTCATTAAATGGGGCCAGAGATAAAGCTTAAGGTATGCTGTGTCTGATGCCTAGAATTTAACAAGACAATGTAAACAGAAAAGCTAGCTGCACACTGCATTCCGCTGGGTTAGTTTATTTATTACCACATCACTGGTGTCCCGCCCAATGTGCACGCCACTGACGTGTTCCACCCAACCATGGGCTTAGTCATAGAGACTTCAGTTTGTATGGGCTCAAATTGGAGTGAGGACGTGCTCCCAGCAGCAAGCCCCCCGACTCATTCTTTTCCTGAGCCGTGGAGGAGCAGTGCTTCTTTTGTGTGTTCTCCTAACAAGCCAATGTAATCCCATTGCCTGATATTTCTAAATAAAAGAATCCAATCTACTGAACTAAAAGGAAGTCAAACATATGTAAAACATATTTTCATGAAAAGACACAATAATATGTGAAAATGTGTACTTACTGAATATACACTACAGTGTATGTGCACCCTAAATCTATTTTTCAAAACGTAGGGCGTTTTTCAGCGCGTAGAAATACGCCCAGGTGGGAACCATGCTCATAGGAAATTATGGGATTTCACTTGCTGAGCGTTTTTCAGCGCTTCGATAAGTGCTGAAAGACGCCCAGGTGTGAACCAGCACTTAGCAGTAGCCTTATCAGTCTGCTGTAAATGCTCCTTCAGTGGTATGTTGAGCTGCCTACCTAATAGACCTCTTAGGCATCCCAACACCAACTAAAGAAACGGCTGGTTGACAACGTTGCTGCTTTTAATTATGAGGCAGTGGCCTAGCATTATCAGTATGCTGTTACTGGCAGGAAAGAAGATTTGCACATTTACAAAAAAAAACCTGTACACAGTAAGGCAATTATTCACATACACTATAAGTATCAAATAAAAACTTACCCCCAGGGTAAGGTGCAGTAGTTTATGACTTGAATCTCTCAGCTTATTAGTTTATTTGGGCAGCAAGGGGACTAGATCTAGCTTGCAGAAGCCATAAATGTTGTAGATAGCTATAGATACTCATATATCTCCTTCAGTATCTTTGCTGAAACTAGTTAGTGTCATTATTGGCTGGTTAGAGAGCTGGGTCGTAACCTCAGCTCTTCAAGGTCAGGGCTGCAGGTCATAAAAGGTAGTAAGCAGTAATTGTCTTTTAGTTATGTGGAGGACCTCTTTAAAAGTCTGGGTGGTAAGGATAATAGTTCACATCGCATAATTCAGGGGGAAAAAATCCATTGCGCTCTGGTGGAAAAGTTCAGTTTTAGTTTAAACAGTGTCTGGCAATGTACATTAGAGATAACTACAATTAACAAAATAATGGATGACAAATGAGAAGATATTAACATCCCATCTCTTGTTGTACGTGTCAAGGCACCAGAGTCTAAAATGTGTAAGGAATCCAAGATTTCTCCATCTGCTCAACTTCTTGTCCAGGGAACTTTCAAAAAAGTTCACAAGAAAGTTCATTTAGAGTTCAAACATGTTATATTAGGCCTTTGTCAAGGTAAAAGTTCATTGGAAGGTTAAAATACATTTCAGTAGAGCATCCTGAATAATATGCTGTTTGTCAATATTATAACCTCACTCCTTCTCTATAGGTAAATATTATATACTGAACATCTGCCTGAAAGTCTCAAATTAGTAAATAGTCTGTCATTCTGTTAAAAGTCATATACAGTTGTTCTGATGAATATGGCACCATAACTTACAATGTATTTAAATAGCTGTCGTGCTACCATAACTAAATACATCTGCACAAATCTATATTAGAAATATACATTTTCTTTACAAAAAGGGAAAGTTCATTTAGTGGAGGGGTGGATTTATCAGTCATGGAGCACAGCAAGGCAACCATGTTTCCTACATGCCCCATAAATTTAGTGTAAATAATTTGGGGAATCAAACAAACCCAAAACTATCATCCTGAAAAAGAAAAAAAGTCCCTTACAGCGAAAACAATGTTATGGTATGGAAAGGGTAACCTCAGCAGCAAATTTTGGTCTAGAATGTTCAAAGTGACTTAAACCAGTCATGGCAAGTGAAAAGAATGATTCACTATGATTGGTTCAAATTCAGCCAATAAGCAACGTTTAGACCATCGTCAAGCCTGAAAACCACTGCTGTGCTCCAATTAGACGTCGCCAAGATCACTTGTATGCAGCCTGCATACAGGGGTGCGCATTGAGGAACCCGGCATTGGGGCAGCAGAGAGAGTAAATCCGGCCCTGACCATAATACAGAACAAAGAATGAGGAATCCAATAAGCAGTGAGACACCTTCCTTACTGCCTTTTTGGAGGGAAGGAAGACATAAACTTCTGAGGGAAAAGTAGGTGATATATGTATCACTTATTCAACCGATGGGTGTTCACAAAAATCAGATGTAGAAAGTTGTCCTTTAAAGTACATGTAAACAGTAACCGAAGGCACTGTGTATCATAAACAATTTCCATATTTTAGTAAAATACAGTAAATTCCCCATTATCTGGCATTCAAGCAACCGGCACTCTCAAGCATAATATGTCCTTGTTTTTTTGCTGATTGCTTGTTAGACATCGGGATAATAAAAAATGTTGTTAGCCACTAAATTTACCTAGTTGCTAACAAAATTCGTCAGGATGCATCCTGTCAGTGTCCAAGTGCGGACACCCGTACTCGCACAGATGACAGCGTACAGCCGTGTCCTCCCATAGGGAAGAACAGGCTGCTGCGCGCAATCACAAACAGCACCTGTCCCTCCCAGGATTGGCCCATTTATGGGCGTGCACGCCGCACGGATGTGTACGATTCCTGTGAATGAGGCCTTACATTGATGGCATCTTTCAGGGTTGGAATTCCTAATGGTGACAACAGTGGACCATGTCTGTGTAATGTGTGTTGAAACAGCCACTTGTGCTCTTCATCAGAAGCCTGTGTGACGGGATGACAACACTAGTGAGAAATTGGGATACAGGGAAAGAGCGTGGTCAACCTATAACAGAAAGTACCTAAACAAAGACCTTCATGGCAGCATCACTGGATAGTATTTTAGTGAAAGCTGCAGATTTTAAAATAAAAAAAATTACTTTTGAAATTAAAGTAGTACTAAACTCTCAATGTTTTTCAATAATGAATCAGATCAAATCAATATACATTGTCCGGCAAACGATTTCTTTACATTTTTGTCCAAGCTCTTACATTCATCATTTTTCCAAATAGCTCCAAATCTCTCAGCTCAGTTTTTCTAAACTTCCTGTCCAGTACAAGATCCCAAGGGACAAAGCAGTCTCCAGCAGCCACCCATCTACTAGCTAGCTCGGAGAAGGTAGGAGGGGAGAGGAAAGAGTAGAGGAGTGTCTTGCCTTGCTGTGCCTGTGTGTTTGTGAAGACACACAGCCTATTAGCGCACACACAAGGGTGACTCCATAGGATCCTGCAAGGGAAAAGAGCCATCCTAAAACAGGATATCAGGGCCCGTGCTCTGGGGACCAGCTGATTCTGTAGGAACCTTTTAAACATCAAGGGGCAGCATCTATTGTAAGTGATTTAATCAGCATTTGAAATAGCCTGAAAACCTTATGACTTTAATATCACTTTAAAGATGTTAAAACATATAAAAGATTTTAGTCATCTGACTTGTATATACTTTAGGGGTGTATTTATAAAATGTTCGCAGAGCAGTTCGTTCTGCGAAAATCTGACTTTTACATTCGCACTGCATTATGGCCAACAGATGGAGCCTAGAAATTTCTAGTGATAATGCATTACAAATGTAAAAGTCAGATTTTATGACAAATCATGGCTTGAAATATCTTGCTTTGCATGTAATGAGTCTATCTCATATATTAGTTTCACCTTTTAAGTTGCATTAGTGAAATAAATGAACTTTGCACGATATTCTAATTATTCGAGTTTCACCTGTATTTATATATATCTATCTATATTTATATCTATATATCTCATTAGCAAATGTCAAGCTACAACTATATATTTCTCTTATTATGTTTTTTTAAACATATTAAACACACTAAACAATGAACATAAGATACCAATTTAACAATAAGAGGTATTCAATATCATATGCTATTGGCAGATCAGCCTACTTGTGTATCTTGTATTAACTTGGTCCTGCTAGTGGCCATAGAAGAAATTTTGAATTTGGTTATTAAAAGATTTGTCCACATTTATTTAATATTTACATTATTTCTTTCTACCGAAATCATAAAATGTGCTTAAAATTCTGTAAAGAGACTGCAAATACATCCGAGTGGTTTTTATGCATACCTTGAACTTCAGTAATAGTAATATTGGAAAAATCACAAGAAACATCTGGCAGAATGTAGTGTCCAGGATCACCAATTTCATAAACTAATTGTTCTGCAACCGTGCCAAAGGAGACAAGACCTCCACTTTCTCTTGGCTTTGATATGGTGAAATTCCCATCTGAGGTGCATTCAGCTATTGGAAATCCTATATTGTGCCTGTTAATTAAAGTGCAACAAAGCTGTTAATGTACACACATTTAAGTGAAACTCTAGACTAAATAATATCATAATAACACTACCCTGCACTGTAAGTGTAAATGGCACCAATGCCTGCCATGCTGTGTATTGTATTGTCCCCTCCTTCTGCCAGAAAAGCAGCTGGCGATTCTGCCACAAGACTACTGAACATTGGTTTTTACCATGAGGACATGGCGGCTGTATTCATTGATGTCTATTCCTCAGCACAGACGAAACAAAACTACAGTGTGATATCCTGCCCCACACGCCAGTGGTATGTCAGGGTTGTTGAGCAAGGGGAACATCCCTGCCAATCCCCTTAGGAACGGCAGACAGAGCTGGGATACAGTTACAGATGTGGCAAGCATTCTGAATCAGTGGCTTCTACTTCTCATTGTGGCCGCTTACATGACAAAGGAGTGTGACCACTGTTATCCTACCACTAAGCCAGGATGTGGAGGGTGAAACAGCAATGAGGGCAGTTATGTGATCCATGGAAAATACTAGGGATGAGCGATTTCACCTGAACTGATTTAGCCTTTTCATAAATTTAATGGAAATTGAACTTCTAATTTGAACTTCCTCAACTTTCAAGATGCAGACTGCTTAGGTGAAATTTACTTAACATGGTGATCATTGGCTTTGTTGATAAACAAAGGCATTTCACTGTATTTCTTTATCAGTACACTCGATGTACACCTAGAAAGAAATATTTTTCTTAATGAAAACTGTACACAGTAAAAAATAAAAATATAAGGTGTTTTTTTTTTTCTAATTAAAACATTTTTGTGGATTCGAATGAAAGGTTTTGGTTAGGGTTCCTCAATGTCTAACATCATGTTTCCAGAAATTGAGGGAAAATTTTCTGGCACAGAAATAGGTCCAGGATAGGTGCAAAAAGCTTCCATCACTCTCTAGAGTCATTTAAAGACCGTAGCACCCTAAAAATCCCCTTCATTTTGTATTCCCCTTTGACTTAATCATAGTAAAATCATTGAACTGTACCCATTTTTCGTTAAATCAATGATTTATACACAAATACATGTGTTTGTAATATGGTGATAGTGCTTACACCTAGCCCAAAATTAAACTTTAGGTTAATAGACACATGATGGACACAGGACAAACCAAGCACAGAGAACTATTGAATAGAAAATAGTATCCTAATAGAGTAGTAAATAAAGTAATACAGTAGTAAATAAAGCTTGTCACAGACTTTACAGAATGACCAGATTTGCATGAAACATCCATCTGCCAATGTACGCTGTGCCAAGTTTGGCTTTAAAACAGGAATGGTCAGTGTGTTCCCTGATATGCTATGGAGTAGGACACAGCAACTTCAACTTACAAAAGGACCGGCAGTCTAGGCAGTGATTTATGCGGGGACACAAGAGATTGGACAAAGTTTTTCAACCTTTACTTTCTTCCTTGTGGTATTATATGTGGCTGTTTTTTTAGACATAAGCAGTGTGTCACCTAAATGTGTAAGGGTACACTTACACAAGGAGACAAGCTAGGTTTTGTTCATTGGAAAACTCCCCAACAAACAGACTTTTAACTATACATTTAAAAAAAAAAAACCCTGATTTTGATGTTATGGTTTATACTTTCTAAGTCACTTTTTGATTTCATCCTACTCCCATTAAAATAGTATTTTATAATCCAGAAGAATGAATATGATATGATGAGATTGTTCTGGGTCATACTCATCTTGGTGGGTCATACTCATCTTGGTTAGTGTACTGCGCAAGTACCAGCACTAGGGAGTTGTCTAAATAATAAAAACATTTCAGTGGCAAATGTCCCTTGAAGTTTAGAAATTTCAATACTTTCCAAGCCACTGACCAAAAGGTCAGAATACTGGATAGTTGGCCTGAGCAATGTGGCCAGTAGGACAACCAGGGAACCAGCATTTTCAAAAGACGTCACCAACGGCAGCCTCCATATTCATCAGTAGAGGTTTCCTGTGAGAATACTTTATACATCTTATAATGTATGAACATTTGTTGTGCTGTGTGTATTCTAACATCATTAGTCATTTCAGGCTGTAAAGAGACTCATTACAGAACAAAGTAATTTTTGTCTGCAGGTAAATAATATCCCCATGACCACGAGTTTATCTGTAAAGCACTAATGCTTCCCAGATCTCAAAAGATTCTAAATTCCTTACCTCTAGGGCCTTATGTATTAAAACAGACCTTTCGTTTAGGGCTCTTTTACACCATGTCTGTTGACCTGCATTATTATGTACACCACTCTACATGTGTGGTGTGAAAAAGGCACATAGAAAACAATTGTATTATATGTGCCCTGATCAAACCATACGTGTGGTGGTGTGCAGAAAAATGCAGCTCAACGGACATGGTCTGAACAAGCCCTTATTCCGATTTGTCCTTTAGGTTTTGTCCTTTTAAAGTTTCAAGTTTTCTTTTAAAACTTTTGGCTTAAAATGGGTCATGCCAAATTTCATTACATGTAGAGGTAGCCTGAAAACCTTTGCTTCTCAGTTTTGAGGTTGCCGTTTTGTTTCTCCTGAAAGTAAAATGGACCGAAATCTGCATTAAACAATTTATGCCTGCTAGCATAAAGATTCATAAATTGCTTCAAATTGTACAGAAACCTCTTTGCATGACACACAGAGAACAATCAATAGGCTGCTTTCTGACATGCAAATCCGGAGAATTTAAATACAAACAAGGGAACAGCATGTTTCTGCACCTTAACCCGATTAGAACTGTCATTCACCTAAAATCATTTAAGTCACTTGTACGTTCTAGCTTTACCTCTTCATACAATTCAAAAAAAAGTTATTTGAGATTAAAAAGCAAAAGAGCAAATTAAATGACATTGAAGCACTTCCCCACAGAATACATTCACAGTAGGTGAGCGTAAAATGTATGTCAAGCTAAAATCTTTTCTTCTAGCTTCTGATAAATGAGAAAAGATTAGAACACTGTTGGGTTTATATGGCTATCCAGAGCTCCGTTAGAGAGATTTCACTTCACTTCCTGTCCTGTGGACAACGGTTTTACAAGACAGAAAGTGAAGGAAAATCTGCAAAATCTGCAGGGACACAGACAGAAAAAAAATCTTATTAGTCTTCCTCTACCCCAGTAAAGAAAGACATTTGAATTTGTTTCTGTGTTGCTGTTAGATAGCATCCCTTACTTTTAGACTGGAAAAAATTGTCAGCAGGAAGTGAGGGTATGTCTCTAACAAAAATGATTTATCTTTACTACCCCACAAAGCCGTAATAACTGTGCCATTCTCTCATTCGGTCTCCTCAATTATTTGTTGTCACGATACGTGGGTAAAAACTCTTAACTCGATATGTCCACTTTCCCTAAGAGTGGATTCTAAGGGATAGCTGGTGTCTTCAGTCACAGGAACAAAAAATTAGGAACTGGCACAGGAACAAGGAAGGTAAGTGGTTGTGACATTTGCTTAACTGACCCCATGGTGAATCCATTTGTAACCATTAGGCCATCATCTCCTCTTTGCATTGGACAGGGCACTTTGTGAAACTGGGAGTTATGGTGGATATATTTTATCGCTGGTTACCCAAATGATATAAGGAGGTTAACAAAAATGACTAAATTTGCTTGAAAAAAAAAAGACAGACGAGAGAGGGAGAAAAAAAAAAAAAAAAGGAAAGAGAGAGAGCAAGATTATCCTAAATGGGTTAAAGTGTAGTAGTCTTGTACCACTGGGATCAATACTGGGAATAGGTCTTTTAATCTGTTTATTAGTGACCTAGGGATGAGATGGATAACAATATTGCAATTCTTGCTGACGACAGAAAATGATATAGATTAAAAGTCAGCACCATAGCAACATATTATAGAAGGATCTCAAATTGGCAACATGGGCAGTTAAATGAAATGTTGAAAATTTTTACTTTTGCACCTAAGCTGATGAATTAACATTTCCCCTTACCCATTGAATGGAATACAGTTGGGCAAAACAGAGCTGGAGAGGGGCTTGTGAATACTGGTAAAAATAAGCTAAGCAGAACCACTCAATGCCAAGAGGCAGCTGCAAAAGCAATCTAATATTGGGTTGTAAATATTGCCTCTGCATAAATCACATGTAATATTTGGGGTTCAGCTTTGTGAATGACTTTGGAGTATTACCAAATCTTTATCTATAGTTTTGGGTAGAGTAGGGAAGGTTTTAGAACCTGCTGTGTCCCCACTGGAAGGATTAATCCTCTCTATTTGCCCTGTTGGCTATTGTCACCGAAAACAGGAAAAGATGAAGAATAAAAACATTTTATAGTTGTTCCTAAACTAGGAATCAAGGGGATTTTTAAAAATGGGACAAGAGAGAATACCCCTAAATTGTAGAGATTTACTTCCTGTTCCATCTCACAGGAGGTGAAGGGAAATATACCCGGCACACAGAGAGGAAGGCACGTTTCTCCTACTATATCCAATGGTGAAAAAAATGTTTTAAGAATATACATATATATATATAGGTTAGATAGATAGATAGATAGATAGATAGATAGAGCTGGGATATGTTTTACCCCATCTATGCAACTCTAATAAGATTTCTTACCAGTCTGGTACCAGATGCCAGTCTGTGTATATTCCTCCAGTGCACTGGGCACCACATTCTATTAGATGACCAGCTAGACTGCAATGGGACAAGAGATACACACTAGATTAGAATGCAAACGACATTGCCATTGCAGGATTACTGCATATTTCTGAATGCTTTTTGGCTTTGTTTGTTATAACATAATAACAGTAAAAAAATAAATAATTGTAATAAAAGTAAATAGTGGTCCCCCTTGTCCATATATAGATAATGAATGCTTGTTTAGTCTAGGGAGTTTAGTCTAGCCTACCTTACACCTCAGTCCCGCATCAACCAGCGCTCTGGTTTTCTCCTCTCCCACGCCAGAATGTGTTCAGTCCATCGACATCATCACATACAATGGAGGACTGCTGGTCTTGCAGTATACTATATATGATAACATCTGCAAGGGGGTGGCCGAACAACCGGCTAAGAAGAGCGGCTTTAGTTAAGTGGTTATCCGGCAGGAAGGAAGTCTGCAGGACTGGATAAGAAGTAATACATGCTATTAGAGCCCCCTAGACTAAACTAGACACCAACAGATTAATAAAGTGACATTACAGATGTAGGTAGATGTATGATAATTCATTTCTTGTACAACATAATTATGCCTTTGGTCCTACCACAGAGGATTGTTGTACTTTGCTTCTGTCCATGGGGACTTTTATAATATGCTGTTGCTTGGGGATGATTATAGGAATTTGCGTGCTAAAGGAGGAATTCTTGCAATGTTGATGCCTCTGGTGGAGATCAGGTTATTAAATTGAGTGATGCTAAGGGTGGTAATAATATAACTTGTATATATTAATATATGTGAATGTTTGTTTTTGTTCAATAAAAGTGTTGGCGATAAGAAAGGTATTCCCTAAATGTTCTCCCTCCTATGTGTTAAGCCACACATGACAACACCCACTTTCATTACTTATCTGTCGCTCCTCCCAATCTCAGGAAGACAGAAGGTATGGTGTAGGTGAAGGCATTTGAATTTGTTTTAGCTTTTATTCTAAAACCCAAATGATCACAGCGAAGCAGTATATTTAATTATATAACATATTATATTATGCGCTAATCATTTTTAAATCATTCAAGATCTCAAATGTAGAACAGAAAGTTTTGTTAGCAAAAAAAAAAAACTTCTGTAAACTGTTAGAGAAAATAAACATATTAGTATTTTATATTAATAAGTGTATTGGCACTTACCTGCCAGATGCGAGTAAGTCAAATTCATTTCTCTTCCATCCAAACTACAAGAAAAGGATAGAGAAATTCTTGTTCATAAATGAAATTATATATTTATTTAGAGTATACCTTGTATGTTATAATATTACTGAAAGGAAACAATATGGAAGTCTACTGAATAGGCATGTGAAAGTTGTGGACCATAGTGCTAGGTACAATTCCAACCAGGGAAGTCTGCACAGGGTTTACACATTCTCCATGTCTGTGTTAGTTTTCCTTCAATTTTCAAATTCCCTCCCAAAAAACATAATGGTTCTCTGACGTATTTGTCCAAAATATATAGTCCTACTAAAAAATTCCAGCAGTTTCATGCCCTTTGTAAAAATGGTGTTGCAATGTTGCAATTATGTAAATAATTGCTATACAAGTATATCTAAACCTGAGAACCAATGTAACATATTTAATGTAATATATTGCAGGTTAGCAGTCCTTAAATGTGGTGGCTGCAGTAGTTTTCTTTGCAGGCTAAGTACAATTTCTGCAATACAGAAAAATACCTGTTGACCTTACCAGAAATCCTGAGTCCTTGCCATGCGCTGGACTGAAATCTTAAACAATGTTATCATCATTCCCAGTGGACTGCAGAACCCCTCCCTTCATGTCAGGTAGATGAGAAAAGGGGGAGGTGTGCAGTGCAAATCAGGATAGCAGCCTAAGAGGACAATGCTGACAATATATAAAGAAGTTTGATTAAGCTTTGTCACCACAGGACAGGAAGTGTGGTATTAGCAAGATCACCAGGTGAAAATAAGGGGCAGAAAAAGCCAGAAAAAAAAGGAAACCTAATACAGCCATCATATCTATGCACTGGTAAGCAAAATATCTCTTTTTGTTTTTGGGATAATATGCAATTAAATTGTTAGTGTCTGTTGTATTATTTGGGATAGTTTCTTCTCACTTGTTTTTGGCACCGTACCGGCACTGTAAGGCCTCATTCACACTACCGCGCATATACGCGCGTACGTGCGTGCGTATTGTACCATATGCAAATAAATGGCTCCATACACATAGCCGCGTATAGAGCCGTATATATGCGTAGCGTAAAAATGTGCAAAAACAGATTGGAACTGAGATGCGACCGGGCAGCGTATTTCTGCGTATTTTACGCGCATACCCATGTTTGCGCATGTATACGAGCGTATGTGCGTACAGTTTATTCAAATTTCCATTAGGAATGATGCATTCTGGGAATGCAAATAGTGCACGCATATACGCGGATAGATGCTCGTATATACGCGCATAGATGCGTGTATATACGCGATATACAATTTTGCTTGCGTTGTGTGTGAATGAGGCCTAAAGTGTTATTAATAATTATACTATTATGATTTATGCCCATGTTTCCTGTGCTGTAAAAATAATTTGGACAAGGCATGTAATGTCATAGCACCACCTTGTGGTCACATTTGGTATTGTTTACTTTATGCAATAGACATTTCAGGCTGACTTTCCAATTAAGGGAAAAAAAAGTATTGTGACACAAAATGACCACATTAAGGGAAAAGAAAACATCCAAGCAGTATTCAGCTGAGCAAACTGAAGCAAGTGCAATGTGAAAGTCCTACTGCCCATCAGACCCTTAATTGTATCTGACATACAGAGCAGGATGCCATTGCTCACTCCTCATTTTAAAAATGCTAGTTGCCTGGCTGACATTCTGATGCGTTTAATACATTCGGAATCACTGTCCTGTAACTCTCATTTGCTACAAGTTTGCCCTGGGTATCTGACTCAGGAGTACTAAGTTAGAAACAGCTAGGCAACTTGCTTTTGTAGAAGGGCAGCAATGATAGCCACCATCATACTTCTCTCATGACAGGCAGAGATTAAATGGTTTTACATTTGCTGCCTAATGCCGAACTGCATGTATTTCTATATGTCTGATTGTTTTACATGTAAAGTGCAGTAGTTCAGTGTGATATATATATATATATATACATATATATATATATATATAAGAATCCATGGCATCCATGGCTTTCTTGCTACTGTGCTAGGAGACCTTCTCCTTCAGAGGGTCTAACAAGAGTACCTGCTTACCAGTGTTAGTTAAGTTAGGCTTTAATTTGTTCGTCTCTTACTTAAAGTCCATGTAAAGATGACCGTCAAATGATAGCAGAGCTGCTGTGTCATTACACCATTTTGCAGGAAAAGCTCTACTTGTCACATGAGGGACTCAAACTGCAATGTCAATGCTTGTGACAGAATGCATCACATGTTACTTTTTATTTTGCCCTTGGTTCTAATTTAACTATTATTCTAAAATGTTTTTAATACAATACTTGTATCAGACAATTACAGTATTAAACAAAAACACACTATCATCCACAATGGCCTCTGCAAGATGAAGCCATTTTTTTATTTTTACTTAAAGAAGAACTCCAGGCAGAAGACCCCGCACGGCAAGGGTTAAGTGCTCCTTTTCATCTAGGGTCACAAATAAAATCCCATCACTGGAGCGGAGGGGGAGCGAGGCTGTAGGGACCAGTTTAGCAGCCAGTCGGGTTGGAGGTTTGGGTAAGTATATCTTTGTTATTTACAACCCAAGACTAAAACAAGCGCTTAACCTTTGCAGTGAGTAATGTGAGTAAATGGGAGAGTATTGTAACATTGAATGTGAATATTGAAAAGTTCTTTCTCCCACTTTTTAATCATTAAACCAAATGAAGCAAACATACAGTGTGTATTAGTGGTCCCAAGACGAGGCTGCTGTCCACACATCTTCCAGTAATAACAATGTCTGCTCCAAGATCCAGAGCCCTGCTAATTGGTCTTGCTCTACAAAGAAGGCAAATATTCTGTCAGTAGGCTTCTACTATAATATAAAAGAGAGCAACCAAGAATTACAGAGAAGAGCAAGAAGCACAGAGACACAGATATGCACCATTGGAGATCACGTACTACGTTGCCTGCCGCTCTACTCACAGTTCCAGAAAGTGCCCTTAATATAGTCATAAAAGCACAGTTAGCCTGACCCTGTCAAACAATACATGGTGGATATAAAAATGGTGATTAGATCATCTATACAAGTATATCAGAGGTTATGTTATAATTATATGTGTGTGTTCCACTGCACAGGTATCCATTTTATCCCCCAAAGCACATTAAAGGGAACCCACAGAGACAGAGATATAGGAGCCGTCATTAGTGACTTGGCTGTTAAAGATGTTGGATCCTGTGCTGTTATCTTGATCCTACCTTGGACTTTTTAGCCCTCATTCACATGGGTAACGGCCGGCCCGTACAGATCTGTGCTGCGTGCACGGCTGTATCGGGCCGCTCCCGGGAAGGACAGGTGCTGCGTGTGATTTGTACGCAGCAGCCCGTTGTTTTTTTATGGTAGTGCGCGGCCGTACGCTGCCCTACGCTCATCCGACCTGCACGTCCATGTGGGTATCCGTACTCGTATGCTGACAGGATGGATCCTGTCTGCATCCGAGCAGGGACACCCGCACCCGTACGGACGAGCAGTTCGGGTGAGCGTACGGCGGCGTACTCCCATAGAGAAGGACAGGCTGCTGCGTACAAATCACACTCAGCACCTGTCCTTCCTGGGAGCGGCCCGATACGGCCGTGCGCGCAGCACGGATCTGTACAAGCCGGCCGTTACCCGTGTGAATGAGGCCTTAGACTTTACTAGCTGCATGCTTGTTCCAAGCCAGCGACTGAAGTCAGTGAAGATGGGATCAGGAGAACCTGGGAGCCTGCACCTTTAAAAACACATTCAGCAGCGACAGCTCCCATGTTTCCATATTCACAGACTTAATTCAATTGGCGCTGGAAACAGGAATTACTGAACCTCTCTCCCTCTCAAGAGATCATCACTACATGTGAATACAGCACAGGCCTTGGATTCACCACATCTTACTGCATTGTCAGCACTTATCTGTACAGAGGTCAGTGCAAATCACACTAATTAGAATAGTCAAATAGGAAAACGTCTCACTCATCTCTATATATAATATACCTTCTTAGAAAGAAAGATCATCTTTATGTAATTATATTATCTCATATTCTTTAAAAGTGTTATACAGTTTTGGGAATGAAAGTATTAGGAAAACATACTACAGGTAAAGTGTATGCAAACCTAAAATCAGTTTTCAGCATGTTTGGCATCTTGCCTTACTGTACACAGTTTTCTTAAAGTGTATCTACCCAAAAAAATGTAATGAGGGGAATTTATCAAAACTGGAGCAGACTTAGGCTGGGTTTTTTTTCCTTTATTTTCTCTATTTTTGGGGGAGGTTTTTTTCTTTTTTTCCTTTATTTTCTCTATTTTGAAAAAAAAAAAATATATATTTTTTTTTAGTTTGACTTTTAAACTTCACGCCGGCTCCGCCCTCCTGCGACACAGCCGCTCGCAAGGAACGGAAGCCGGAACCCGCCGAAGACACAGCGGGGATCGCGGACAAGGTAAGACCTGTACGCTGTATTCCCGAGTGTGGCTCGGGGTTACTGCTTTGTTAACCCCGATCCACACTCGGGAATACCAATGGCAACGCGCGGCAAAACGTCCCGAAGAAGCTCCCGTACTTCTTTGGGTGTAGGAACGCGCTGTAAAACGCCCAGGTGTGAACCAGGCCTAAATCTGGAGCAGCTATGCACAGCAATCAAATCAGCTTCTCTCTTTCATTTTCAAATCTTAACTGAACAAACTGAAGAAAGAAGCTGATTGGTTTCCGTGCACAGCTGCTCCAGATTTCGTCTGCTCCAGTTTTGATAAATTCCACTCAATGTATTGCAACCAGTTATTAGTTTGTTTTTTTCCCAACTGATTTTCCTTTATTTTTACCAGTTGATTCTGCCAGTAGCAAAGCTTTTTCCCCCTTAACATAATAACTGTCCTTTTACTTTGTTCATTAGCTCATCCCACACAATCATTACCTTTTGTATCACTTGCCCCGCCTACTTTATTGGAAGCTCTTGCGTATTCAAATTGTATTGTAACTGTACTGTCTGCCTCCATTTTGTGCTGCACAAACTGTTAGCACTATATAAATGATGTATAATAATAATAATAGTACAGGCAGTTATAGGGGGGAGTTTACTGTGGCACTGAAGGAAGCATAATTATTGCTCACTGTGGTGGTGGCATTCACATTGGCACTCCAAGAAGAAGAATTACTGTGATCTGATCACATTTATTGTGGTGATATTTATATTGCAGGAATAAAACACACTGGGAGGGGGGATTCCTAAAAACCGGAGCAGTTGCACATGGCAACCAATCAGCTTCCGTTTCATTTTCAAAGCTTAACTGAACAAACTGAAGGTAGAAGCAGATTGGTTTCTATGGGCAACTGCTCCAGATTTTGTCTGCTCCAGTTTTTAGGTATTCTCCCCATTGTTTTACTCCTCATTATGCTCAGTAAGAGATCTTTGCTTTCTATACTGATTATTCACAGCCATTATTTCCATAATGAGGTGCACCACATATACTAGTCTTACATTTATAGTATTCTATTTAGAGCTAATGAAAAACAATAATGATGTTTTATTGCACAGCCCAGCATGTGGTGTGAACATGGGTCCAGGCTGCATGCGTTTTGAGCAAAGCTGACCCAGTACTGGGCAATAAAACTGAATTAATATATCTGAATGCCTAGGTGGACAATTAGCAATTTTAAAAAAACATGCAGACTTTTTTTTTTAGTAAGTGAATCTGCAGCAACCCATTGTAGTAATGATCTTTAGAGCTGAACTCTCTGGATAAAGAGCTGATGAAATAGATACAGTATATGAGAGCTATTTTACCAGGCAAAACTATTTGTATGTATGTCCATCCAGCCAGTGCTTAGATTTACATAGCTCTGCTACACAGCATAGCCCTGCCTAAGAGGGACCTGATCTTTGTCTCTTGCAGTTTCACTTTCACTTAAAAGTCTTCTCCCCATCCCCACCCTGTGAATGGACTGTGAAAGGAGAAGCAGCAGACGGATGAGTTGATCTCTTTGTCATTCTGCTCTCTCTTCCGATCAGCATGATCTGTACACTGCAGCACACTTGATTGGCTCTTTGTGCTGCTTCTTCCTCCTCCTTTCTGAGCTCTGCTGTATAGAGACTGATTCCAAGTCAAGTTCAGGTAGTTTCACTGATTACAGAGTTGCATACATTTGTATATTTTTATATCTGCTTAGTGTTCAGCATTAACTTTGGTAAACTGAAATCTGGTTGCCATGAATTGCTGCACATGCTATCATAGATCTTAGCACCGATTCAACAAGCTCAGATGTGCAGTGCTAATTCATTTTGCGCATTCGGAACCTTGTGGCCCTGTCTCCACTCACACTGAGGTTTGCAGCCTTCAAGCTAGTTACTTCTGGCTTATACTCCATATGGCAGCATTGTATACAAGAATAACAATGTGTGCATTGATTTGCACTGACAATGCAAAAACATACATATATGATATTATTATTATATATTATACAGGATTTATAAATTATAAATGGCATCAGTCCAATTGTGGACCTCGAGAAAGAGAGAAAGGAGAGGGAGTGGGTGAGTGTTTTTAGACTAAGAGCCATGAGGGGACAATGGCTGGCATGGCTGATTCTCTATAAAACAAAGTAGAATATGTCAAAGATATAAGAATGAATACAATACATGCGATATAGGCATCTCTCTGGGAACAGGCAGAAAGGAGGAACATTAGTTACCCCAGATAAGCATTCACACTCTGAATATGTTCTGGGAACGGCTTCCCACTATCCATTTCAGTGATTCCCCCTGTCTTGAAGGCGTCTTTCTGTGAGAACACAAAGAGTAACATAAAACCATAATTGTATTAAACAAAGTGCTTAATTACACAAAATACCCAAGATCAGAGATCATAATTCCTAATGCCATACACAATAGGCCTCACTGTGGACAGACAACAATTTATAGTTCAGTCATGTATCAGGTAATGTGAGAATCCACTACTATGAGGACTAGTTAACAAGCACAAAACAAGTAATGATGTTCAGTTGCTAATACTAAACACTTCCCATCTAGTGTTCATACATTTAGCAGAACAGCAAAGCATTGTTTGTATAGTAAGTGTGGTACTGTAGTTTGTTATAATTCTTATCATAGTGGTTTTAGGGCAGGGTCACACCATTTTATGGTCCAGATCTGGTCTGGAAAACGGTGTGAACCTGCCCGCAGTTCCAGTGCATTCCAGACCAGACAAAATGAGACAAGCAGTATTTTTCTGGACTGGAACGGACTGCGCTGGTGTGAACAGAGGCCAGAAATAGCGTAGGGATACATTAGGATGCATTTTGGGTCAGGAAACAATCTGGTCTGGAGACGATCTAACTGTGGTGTGAATGGGCCCTGATTGCATATTGTGTAATATGAAGCATTAGAAAAACACCGATCTTTGTAAAAAGGGAATCTATACTGGTTTTCTACTGTACATAGTATGTTTAAAAGAGAAGTAAAGCCAACCCTTTTTTTGGCTTTATTTCTGTTTTAGGTCACAGGAGGACATTTACTAATATCCTCCTGTGACCCAAACTCAGCATACTGTATAGTTGTTCATAGGGATGCACCGATATATATCGGCGCCGAAAATATTATTTTTTTTTATTTCGGTTTCGTTTTGGTTTTAAAATTTCCATTTCGGTGCACCTCTAGTTGTTTACTAGTTGCACTGCAGCCACGAAAGATCCTGTCAATATTGTCGGGATCCACCCTGATGCCTGATTGACAGCTGGTTCTGCCTTTCTAGAGCAACAGCAAGTTGTGCCCGCCCCTTTCCCTGTCTGTTCCTCCAATGAGCGCACGAGGAACAGAGGGGAGGGGGAATGCCTGCAGGGAGCAGTGAATGAAAGTCACTGTTTCCTGCAAGGAGAAGATTGTGAGCTGAGAGATTAGTGGTTTGTGATGACTCAGCTCTTGATCTATAGAGCTGGCATGTGATGTTTGCAGTGTCACACGCCAGCTCTAAGTATTGGAAAGAGTACATTTTACGCTCCCAATACTTCTCTTTTAATTATTAAGGGCAGTGTTAAAAATTTTTTAGTAAAAAGTACACTAGTCCACCCTCCCTAGCACCTCTAACCTAAACTAAACTGCTTATTTCCTCCATAAGTATGTAGCCCCCGCCACCTTTTATGGAATGGCTATTAGAAATTTAGTAATGCCAGAGCTTTAGTTAGTCTGGCTGAATTATAGTTGGCATTTATCCGGTTAATTCCAGGTGTTCTAGCATTGATTATACCTGCCTGAGTGGGGTGTGACCCTACTGCAGTGTGGGACAGCCAATGGGGAGCATTATGAGTGTGTGTGGCTTCCAGCCAATCACTGATGGTCTGATGGCCAGTGGTGCATGCTGGGGAAGGCCATATGTACTCACGGGTATTGCCATGTGTTCAGTTCTGTCCTAGGTTGGAGTGTCAGTCCAGCCTTCCTCCAAGCTTGGCCTGGGGGCAGTAACACTCAAGTGCGGGAATAGCCTTGCTAGGCCTCAAGTCTGGAGGAGGCCTAATAATGATTGAGGAGGAGAGCCAAAGAAGCGAATGAAGGTGCCTGGTTACTGGAATGGATCTCAGGAGCAAGGCTGGTGTCTCTCCTACTGAAGATCTCATGTCTATCCCTCTTCAGCTGTTGCTCAAATACCCAGTGTCAGCCTGTGCTCTTATTGATCCTGTACAGTGAAATACTGAAAGGGAACTGGTGAGCCTGGAGTTCTGTTCTATTTTTGTCATGGATGTCCTAAGCCCTAAACCTCTCTCCCTAAAGTTCTGCAATAAAGTTCCATCAGCATTATAACTACAGTCTGGATCTCTCTTTGTCGGTCGCCATGGAGGGTGGTAGGTGCTATTGGGGCAGCCAGGTTGTTAAAATCCCTGAGACAGGCTACAGAAGACCCGTTCATCCAGAAGCTCCTTCGGGGGCGGGTGCTACATGTAAAACCTCCAGCACTGGCCACACATGCACAGTGAGCCCCCATAGACTTGAATGTGGCTGTATTCTGAATGCATGTTCACATAGGCCCGCATGCTAAAACATTCCATTTTGGCATACAAGCTCATGTCCTTTCTGTGCCAGCAGTAGGAAGCAATGCTTTTTTAAAAAAAAAAAAAAATGGAACTTCAGGCACATTGTTCACAAACACTCTTCGGAGGCAAGGTAGAGAGATACAAAGTAACATGGTTACTTTTGTCTTTACTCTGTTCAATCCATCTGCAGATATATTACTAATAATAATATATCCATGAGGGCTTACAGGCATGCCTACAGGGACTTCTTTTTTGTATCTTGTTTTTGTATTAGTAGCCTTTCATCCTGTAGTGTGTTATTACATACTTAGTAAATTGGGGTGTTGTTCTCCTTTAATAAAACAGAGAAAGGAAAAAGTTGTAAACGGTTCGCTATTAGCAGTGTGCACTATTGTGTCTACAGTACACTTTATCTGAGGACAGAGGGAATTATGGAGTAAAATATCTGTTCATGGTAAATTGCATCAAATTATTATTGCTAAGAACATAACTGCTCACCTGCTTTATTAAGTCATCACCAGTAACCACAGCAATTTTCATATCAAGACCCAATTTTTTTACAATTTCTTGCAAAGCAGCACTGCAGGCCAGGGGGTTGGTTCCTCCCGCATTACTCACCACACGAATACCTAGTAGAAAAACAGGAATATTACATATACACATGCACACCAGGAGCTGCAATCTGGCAGTGCTGGCATTGTCTAGGAGCATTATTGGGCTGCCACTTCAGAATCACAGCCTTTTCACCAGAATATACAGTATTTTCATTGCCATTTTAGTGACAGTGAAACTGGTCACCTGTTATCTACTCTAACCTAACAGATTAGCAAGAAGAATAGAAAATGAGGGAAAATATAGCACCCAAATACTTCTGCAGCAACAGATACGTTATAATAGTGGTCTGCTAGTTAGTATTCTTACCAATAGATCACTACTGCTGTGACCTGTTTATGAATGAGGAGGTCTTCTCCCCTATGAAAGTGCAACATAGCTAATAATCAATGATCTTAAAGTTTTGTTAAGCCACTGGGATCAAAGAGAATACCCAGTACTTCCAGGTATGGAGGAGTTTGTGATTCTCTCCATGTGAAAACCCTGGTGCGTGGTCATTGACCCAGCGCTGTCACACAGTGCAGGAAGAGTCGCCAGCTTTGTGCTAGCTTTGTTTCTTGTAGCTGTATGGAATAGCAGGAGGAGTAAAAAAAAACATATGTACAGCTATGGTGTGTGTGTGGGGGGTTAAAATGAACCTATTGTTTTTCCTGGATGGGCAAAGCACAGGTTCACTTTAATGGTACATTAACCTGCCAAAAATGAAAAAAAGTGACTGAGATCCCAGTGAGGTACAATGTGTTCAAGGATATGCAGATGTATATCCACAACTTATACTCAGTAAGACATCTGCCTAAGATTTCCTTTAAAGCCCAACACCAGACAAAACTTTTGTTTGATTTTCGTTATAGCGGGGAAGGCCTTCATGAGGATTTTGCCACTTATTGGCGAAATTCCCCCTTATGTTCCCTCAACTGGCGAAGAGAAATCTCTCTAACCAGGACACAAAAAAACAAAACACATTTTCAGTAGAGTAAGGAACGGTTAACACATCCATGTCTTTGTTGCTGCTTTTAATGGGTTCTGTGGTTGTACAAGGGCAGGAGGGTGAACTAATGACAGGACCTCCCTTTGTCCATTCACTAAACACCTTGAATACATGATGTTTTATGAATGGATGAGCTGGGAGGAAGAAGGAGAGCAAGGGACACTCTTCTGCGCTGAAGGAGCACCAAAACTCAAAGCAGCAGAGTGGGAAGATCACAGCAGACAGTATTATCTGGCATGAATAGAACTAAGATTTCTAGCATCCCCAGAAGCCAGAAGAAGTATATCTTCTAGATCCCCCCTCAAAAAATGTTTTTTGCTGGTGTTCCATATTAGGGATTCAAGTATTGTTTTGCAAACCGCATTCCACAGATGAGAACTTTTGTGGTAAGTTTTTCTTTGTACACTGCATCACATAATTATTCCACATCCATTGTCATTAGACCGACACTGAATGAAAATGCCGAAAAAGTACCTGATTTATAAATATCAGTCAGATATGGTGCCATAGCTGTATGCACAAAGTCTGGAGTGAATCCTAAATTCTGAAAATGTAGAAGAAAACATCATTTTTAATGAGATTGCTGTTAATTAGAACAGTAATACAAATCATATGAAGATGGTCAAACATTCACTACTATTTAAACTGCAACTTAACGGAACAAGTAAAACCGATCATTTAGGTGCTAATGTTATCTATGTTCTTTATATGTCAACTCAATTTCCATCAGTCTGTTGTTTCGTAACTTAACGAAACAAGTAAAACCGATCATTTAGGTGCTAATGTTATCTAGAAAGCACTGCAGCTGTTCTTTATAAGTCATCTCAATTTACATCAGTCTGAGTTCTGTATCATCCACTGCAGCCAGTATTAACAGACCACCTTACATGGGCTGGACAAGTCTGCTTGCTGAAGTGAGTGCTGTGGAATGTCTCTCTATATCCTTGAATTATTACTAATCCGATTCAAACTTGAAAGCTAGGTTTAAACTTGTTTGATGACTGTGCTTAATGTCTCAGTACTGGCAGGTTGAGGCTTTCTTTATGTGGAGTCTACAGTGGGAGGGCTGGAAATATCAGAAAGTAAAGGAATTTCCAGATCACCAGATTACTAAACACACAGAAATGGTGAGAACGGGTTCACTACGGCAAGGCCTAGATGAAAATTACAGCAGGTACATTATGGTCCCAGTAAGCATCTCAGGACTTCATTTTTAATTTTGACCTTCTAAACAATGTCATTTTTTATTTTACATACATTCCATAAAGCAAAACTGAAAAATGTGGAAATAAAAAGTTAACACAATCCTGAAATCATTAGTCTGTATTAAATTAGAAAAACTGTAACATGACAATAAACAACAATGTATCAGTACTCATACTTGTAAGTACTCGGCAAGTACCAGTACTCGTACTCGCAAAACTGGTATCTGTGCATCCCCTTATTTATATTTATAAAAACAAAATCATACATTAAAACAGTCCCATGAGCTCCGTGTGCTCCTTACAAATGACAGCTGCCTCCTAATTTTTGAATTTTTCTCTAGTCTAGTCTTGGAGCTCAAAAGTATCGGTACATGTACTCGTACCGAGTACTGTACTTGGTATCTGTGCAACCCTAATAGATACTGTACAGACTCAGTAGCTTTGCAGCGATCCTATAGAGATACTGTACAGACTCAGAAGCTTTGCAGCAATCCTATATAGATACTGTATAGAATCAGATGCTTTGTAAAAATCTGGCATAGATACTGCATAGACTCAGAACCTTTGCAACAATCCTACATATGTAGATACTATATAAACTCAGAACCTTTGCAGCAATTCTACATAGATATTGCATAGACTAGGAACCTTTGCAGCAATCCTATATACTGTAGATACTGTATAGACTTATATCCTTTGCAGCAATTCTACATATATATTGTATAGGCCCAGAACATTTCCAGCAACCCTACATACAAAGATGCTGCATAGACTAAGAACCTTTGCAGAAATCCTAAATAGATATCCATAGACTCAGAGCTCTTGACAGTGACCTGCAACTGGACACAGCAGGATATTATTAAATGTAGATGTGGCCATAGAATGTTTTTCATTTGCAATTTACATTACATTAACTACACACACTTGAAGAAACATTTTAGTTTTCTAATTATGGAACTCCTGCATGTGCAAGCACTTGTTTTTTTAATGCAAAATTCAAAGGAAAATTGCTGATTCTTAAAAAACAATTGGTATGCGATGTGATCTACGGTTCCACTGAAGCTTTCTCAGACTGGCCTATCATGGGAAGATGTCTCACAAAGAGCAATCTGAGATGTAACATCTACCCTTATTGACATGGCCAATGGCTGTACGCAGCAGAGGCTTTTCTACATAGGTAAGGGAATAATCTGCACCTGATAACTGAAAGAGATTTCCCTTGGAACTTTCTCCTCACAGCAATTTCTCCGCTTTCTACCCAGCATTCTACCTAGAGATTGTTGGGCTGGAGACAATACTAGTATGACAACAGAACAGAAGATGGAAAAAGTAGAACTATGGGTGTACTTACAGGTGACTTTGCTTTTGCAGCAGTCAGTAAAGACATAGTAATTTCAGAGAGGTAGTCAAATACCAGGAAATCTAATTTTCCTCCATAAAGAAGCTGTGGAACTGAAAGACAATAAAAACATATTTTTGCTAATATCATGGAAATAAAAACAAGCATAATGGAAAACCCTGATGACCCTCACTTTGAAATCATTATCCTCTTGGGGCACCTTAGACCCAAACACACCCTAAACATGTTCAGAAATATATGCTATTTGTTATTGTCACCATCCCTTTGAATGAACAGTAGTCGATGAAGTTCAGCAGTAAAATAGACAATCAGCAATCACTACATCAGATGGAAAAAAGTAGAATGTTAACTTCAAGATTTACAGCTATTCAATACTAACAATACTATATTTTGCATATGGAAAGGAATGTTAGGGATACTCATCTGTCATCTTTCTTAAGAGGAACTGGCCAAAATTCGTACAGCGAGTGTTGCTGTCAGCACCCTTCTGCCAGGCATCCAGCCAATCAGCTACAGGCTCCGTTTGGGTATTCTGACAGTGGATGGAGGCCGCTATCACAATACAATGAAAGCAGCAGGGGATTTGTCCATTCATGCTTCTAAGCATTGATGGAGGAATCCATTATATTTTTTTTGTTCAGCCCCCAGGTTGAACTAAGAAAATGTAACCGTGTATAATGTACGTGGCTTAATTGTAGACCAGTAGGATTCTCCTGCTAACCAATCAAAATGGAGATGCATGATTTCCTTCTTCATGCTTAGTTTTATGGCTCCCTTCCTTTCTTGAACATAAAAAGGTATTTTTTATCTCATTAGCATGTATGGTTCCAGTGAACTGCATCGGTCCAGTCATAGAACAAATACAAATTAGGATACACCTCAAAAAACTAGGTCCCTGCCTATGTAATTTTCTAAATAGTGCTGTGCTTTTGTGCAATGCAGACAGATCATGGCTGATGAGAGGGACTGGCTTTACATAGCTTCCTGAAAACATCACAACAGTCTGCTTCATTACTCCTCTCAAAATACCTCAGTCTTAATGCTGGCCCAAGGGAAGAGTTATGCAAATATCAAAATACCTTGATGGATGGATGTCAGTTTGGAGGAGTGGACCTCATCAGTGGTCAATAGGAGTGAAATGCCTCATCATTGGTCAACAGGAGGAAAAATACCTCATTAGTGGTCAATAGGAGGACAAAGCCTCATCAATCTTCTATAGAAGGAAAAAGGCCTCGTCAGTGGTCAACAGGATAAAAAATACCCCATCAGTGGTAAACGGGAGGAAAAAAGCCTCATCGGTGGCCAAGAGGAGGAACAAATGCTTCATCAGTGGTTAATAGGAGGAAAAAATGTCTCATCAGTGGTCAATAGGAGGAAACAATGCCTCATCAGTGGTCAACAGGAGGAAACAAATACACCATCGGCATTCAGAAGAAAGACAATGCCCTGGCATCAAGTGAAACTTTAGCTCATACATCTTATTTTAGCTTTCAGCAGAGGGGAGCCAACTGTCAATTGTGGGATTACCCTTCATTTCATGGATACTTTCTCTTACTTCTTGTGTCTCTGAGGCAGGAAATGGTGAAAAATCTCCCCCTGTGAGTATACAGATAAAAATAAAACCTGACAAAATATATTTAAAAAAAAGTTTTTTCTATACTTTACAGCATATAGAGAGGTTGGTTAATTTACAGTATGCATCTGTAGCTCCTCCAGGAACATCATACATGAACATGCCATTCTGACTTAGCTGAGGGAAATGTTACCTGAAGCTGCAGTATCACCCCAAAATCCGGACGCACATCCTATTCTGACCGAGGTTCGTTTCTCAGAAGGCGGGCAGTTTTGTACCACAGAACTTGATGAAAATTGCCTCATACAAGTGCGACACAATGTACTTTTAAGTAGCCTGGCTTCAGGTTGCCAGGTTTGCATGTAGCTTCTTCCTAGAAGAAAAAATGTCCACCCCATGTCTGAGGCTTGGCACTTGAATAGTCAGTTCCAGCGACTTATATTTTTTCCCTCGGGTATCTCAAGTTGCCTCTGTGATCCCTGAAAGAGACAAAATGGGTTGTTAATTCTTCCAGAATTATTCTGGCATAAAATATCTACAAGTCATTTTAGATATCACTAGTAGGACATGTGCCCACATTTGGGCCTAGGGTGAAGAGTGAAGCTCAGTTCAAGTAGCTCCAGATACCCCCATCATGGTGCAGCATGCACATCAATTTCCTACCCTTTATCTACTCACGTAGTAAACAGCATCTATGTCACATACCGGTAGTAAACAGAACCTGTCACATGTATAATAATTTGCATGCAAAAAAATGTTTTTTTTTTTAGGAACATACTAATACAATCCATCAGGTGAAATCTTTCACCTGCAAAGCTGTCTATGCCTGCTGCAAAGTCACATCACTATGTACAGTACAATAAGGGGAATTTATCACAACTGGAACAGCTGTGCATGGGCAACCAATCAGCTTCAGTCTTTCATTTTCAAAGTTAAACTGAACAAACTGGGGAGAAGCTGATTAGTTACTATGTGCAGCTGCTCCAGATTCTGTCTGTTCTGCATATAGCTCAGATAACCCATGGCCGAAATGCAGGAAGGATGCGATAGTCTTCTCTTTACCTTCCGCCTCACTGATACCGTTCAGTCTTTGCTGCTGAATAATGAGGGTGATTTACTAAATAACATCAGTATGTTTACACAATACATTCAATAAAATTAGCCAACCATGTGAAAAGCAATGTCTGTTCAATTCATTCATCGGCACATTAATAGCTAATTGAGGCGGATATTCAGAAAAGTTATTGTGTGAATTTAATTAATTTAACTTATTACTAAATTTTATTTTTCCAGAAGCGCAGATTTATTTGTTCACATTCATTGTGTGAACATTGTCACGTTCTTTAGTAAATGAGTCCAATTGCTTCAGCAAAAAAACTTGACATTTGTACCAGCACAGTGTTGAGCAAGTCCGTATATAAGAACTTGGGGCAACATTCTTATTAACTCTTGCAATTGGACTACCCCTGCACTGCACGGGTTAACTGCTCCCTTGTGTCTAGAGACTAAAATAAAAATGTTATACTCACCCTATCCTGGGAGCCAGCTTGTTCTTAGACCGGTTCTTCCAGCCTCACTCCCACTATGATGCAGCAGTCCAAGGATCCTTGAGTCATCACGTCCAATGGGCTGCATATAGGACATGAGGACTCTGACGGGAATACCATCGCTGCAGCATAGGAGGAGAGAGGCTGGAGGGAGCTCTGTGACAGCTGGCTGGCTCTGAGGATCGAGTAAAACTTTTTTATTTTAGTCCCTAGACACAAACAAGCAGTTAACCCTTGCAGTGTGGAGGTAATCCAACTGCAAGGGTTAATAAAAAATGTTGCCCAGAGTTTTGCTTTAAATTAGAATAATTGTGACTTTTCCCATCTCTAAGTTATTGAAAATTGCCGATCATATTGGCTGGTGCTAGCCAGCTCACTAAAATTCATGAAGGGGTGCATATATACTAATAACTAGGGATGCACCGATGCCGTTTTTTTGGTATCAAGTACGAGTACCGATATTTGGTTTCCGGTACTTGCCGATACCAGATACCGAAAGTGCCATTAAGGAAGCCAGGCGGCGTGTAATGACTCGCCACCTGGCTTCCTGATTAGCAAGAAAGCCGTCCCCATGCATTTCGTCACTAGTTGGAGCCGGCTTTCTGGACAATCAGGAAGCCGGGCGCCGTGTCATTGGCCAGCTTCTTGGCCAATCAGGAAGACGGGCAGCGTGTAATGACTCGCTGCCCGGCTTCCTGATACCGGAAGTATCGGGCTAGGCATCGGAGCATTTGGACGAGTACTCGCTCAAATGCTAGTATCGGTATGGGTGCATCCCTACTAATAACATTAATTCTTACATTTTGTTAAGGAATTTGCACTTAGCTTATTGAATAAGGTGAAGCTGTGTTCACTCTAGATACCCAATTATGTGTAAGGAAAATGAAACAAAACACAGGATTTTTGCTCACACATTACTGAATGATTGAAGTCAGCACAGTTTCACTTAATTCATTAACATACAGTATAAAAAGTCACTTTGCAAAGTGAACAGGCTGTACTCCTTTAGTAAACCAATGCCATTCTGTCTCTGATGGGTGTAAAAGAAAGGAACATGAAACTAACATTAATGAAACATAACTGACATATCTTCTTTTTCTGAGATAACTCCAAGAGACCTTTGATAAGCTCTTTAATGTGTTTCTGTAATATGAAGTCTTTCAATTCTAATGTTGTTGATAAGGAATGGGCAAAGGTTTCACTGACTCTAACAGGCTTGCTGAACAAACTGCTTTACTTTTATGTACACCTTATGTATGCCTAGCAAGAGACTGTATTATATGACTGCAGTGTCAGACATGAAAGCAACACTAACCTCAGGAGGTAAACCTTCAAAATGCATTGCACTACCTTAACCTATTTGTTTATCACTGGACTGTAGATCCTCAAATCATCTCTGAATTCATGCTGACACTGGCCTTCCTTCTGGAGGATTGTTACTTTTGTTCCCCATGGTCCCTGTGTGTGCTGAAAAGTATCCACTGCTCCAAGCTCACTCCCGTGATGGACTACAATTTCATGTTTAGTTTAATAATAACACACACAGGGAACATGGCAAACAAGCATAGTGAGTTTGCAAACAGATCACAGGTGAGGATGGTTCCTTTTAATAGCCATTCACACCCCTTTGTGTCATCCTGTGTGCATGTTATCAGGCCAAAATCACCAGGGTATGTAAACTTTTGATCAGTGTCATTTGGGTAGTTTCTGTTGTCATTACGATTGGAAAAAAGTAAACACAGTTGATTGATAATAAATGGCTTCAGCCAAACACTACCCATGAGTGACAGAAAGGTTATCGTCTTATCATTCATATTCTCTGAAAAATGGCCAGGAAATCATAAATTCTGCCAGGGTATGTAAACTTATGAGCACAACTGTAATTATATATATATACATACATACATACATACATACATGTACACCCCACCAAACACTGCACCCACTCTGTTCAACAACACTTCTTAAGCTATGCACACTATGGTGGCCTAGCATGCATGTGTCCTGACCACAGAATATGTGCATACAAATATGCTAATTCTGTTTTATTAACCCCCCCCCAGTGCCAGCTATCACTTTCCTATCTCAAGTGGCTATAACAATTCAATCAATCAACAAACAGCCAACATATTTTGGGGGCAAAAACACTCCCACTTCATTAGGGCTTAGAATGGGATAGGAAATGAATTGGACTCAAACGATACTATAACTAAGTTAATCTCTATACGATTTGACATAGAGATCTCCTGCACAATTCTGGCCCCAACTTTACTAGGCTGAGCCAGCAATGGAGGACCAGTGGATTTTCTATTTTTGTTTCTCAGTTAAGTAACTGCTTACACCAAAGTTATTTATAGCTGTATGTAAGGGATGCATTATTACTGACCGAAAAAAAATAAAAAAATAAAGAGAAGCTTCCCACTGGCCAACAATGTAAAGGGGCATTTCCATTGACCTCCAATATAATGGGGCCATACACTAACTAGCTATGTATGGGACATTCTTCCTATGACCACCAATGTAAGGGGGAACTTATCTCACAGACTACCAAAGTTAGGGGGCACTTCTCCAATGACCACCAATGAAAGTGAGACATTCCCTATTGACCACCAATGTAAGGGGGCCCTTCTTTATTGACCATCATTGTAAGGGGGGGCTGCTTTATTGACTGCTTATCTAAGGGTGCACTTCCTTATTGGCCCCCAAATATACAGGGAGTTCTTTTTTTTTTAACCTCCAATGTAAATGGGGCACTTTTTCTTGTTCATAAATGTATGGGGCAATTTTCCACTGGCCACCAATGTAATGGGGCATTTCTTCCCCTACCCTCACTATAAAGGGGCACTTACATTAACCAAGAATGTAAGCAGGCAAAATTATGTTTGCTGTGTTTTCTTTTTGGCTTTTATCACAATTTGTTTAATTTCATGAATATTACTGAAAATCATGTTTTTGTGTAGAGCAGGGAAATAAAATGACCTGCCTTGGGCGTCAAGTACTCTAGGTACACTACATTCTTTCCTTGTTTATTATAATTATATATATCTACAACTTATTGATCAAACTAGGGTATCATGAGTAGGGATGAGCTCAGTTTCAGACTGAACCCCGTCCGAACCCGAGCTCCTCCGAGCAATGGGCACTTCCACCCAATCAGCTGCAGTACTGGCATTCCCCATCCTGCAGCTGCTTTTATCACAGGGGCGGGATGCTTGTGCTGACATCATTTACCTTGTCATGTCATTTACCAAATATAGGCAAGTAGCCATATAAGGTCAATTATATTACCGCATCCTGCCCTTTTGTGGAAGTCAAGCGGTGGGTGCCCCACCCCACCAGCAGCTGATTGGGTGGCATGGCAGGAGCTTTATTCCATGTTCAGGTTCAGTCCAAACCCGAGCTTATCCCTAATCATGAACTGTAGATATAATGGGGGTAATTTATCAAAGATCATTTTTTTAAATGTGCAAATCTGATTCGCTGCTCCTTTTAGATAGGTGCTATTGTCTCCCTGGTCTGGTCCTCTATGTTCCATTGACACAACCTTAAAAATGTATGGTGGCGCTGTAGAAAGCTTTCTATAGGGCTCAGATAATGCCTGCAGGAACACCATTTATAGGCAGCACAGTAAGAGGTCAGAGTGAAGGATCTGATGATCCTTGTAGTTACATAACAATAGCCCTATTACACAACACATTACTCCATAACATTGCTACAATGACACTCCCCAGCCAATGTATAGACATGATCACTACATTACAAGCCGGGAGATCTCCGTGGGGAACACAATGTAATAATATGTACAGATGGTGTCTCTCCGAAACAAAACAAGCGATCAGTGCGAGTCTCCAGCACAGTGACCCGGTTACAGCGAGACTTCAGCTCCCTATCCCTTCCCTATCACCCACCACACCCGAACAGATTGT